ACCTATAAATATTAGTATTCAGTTATATTTTGTGTATCCAGGAAAGAGTCCAAGACTTTCTTAAAACAATCTACTGAGCTGGCCAGAACCAACTCTTGAGGGAGTCTATTTCACTTTTTCACAGCTCTTACTATGAAGAAGCCTTTCCATATTTGGAGATTAAATCTTTTTTTTTCCTCCAGATGTAATGAGTGACCCCCTTGTCCTCTGTGATAACCTTATAGTGAATAACTCTCCACCAAGTTCATTATGTGGACCACTTATGTATTTATACATGTTGATCTTATCCCCCCTTAATCTCCTTTTCTCAAGAGAGAATAAATTCAGTTCCTCTAATCTTTCCTCATAGCTGAGCTCCTCCATGCCTCGTATCAGTTTGGTTGCCCTTCTCTGTACTTTCTCCAGTTCCCCGATATCTTTTTTGTGAATTGGTGTCCTAAACTGAACTGCATATTCCAGATGAGGTCTTACTAATGATTTGTACAGGGGTAATATGATATCTCTCTCTCTGGAGTCTATACCTCTTTTAATACAAGAGAGGATTTTGCTCGCTTTAGAAACCGCAGCTTGGCATTGCATGACAATATTAAGCTTATGATCTAACAGAACCCCCAGATCCTTCTCCACCATTGATTCCCCCAATTGTACTCCCCCTAGCATACAGTCATGGCCGAAATTGTTGGCACCCTTGATATTTCTCCAGGAAATCATGTATTTCTCACGAAACGTATTGCATTAACAATGTTTTGCTATACACATGTTTATTCCCTTTGTGTGTATTGGGACAAAACAAAAAAAGGGAGGAAAGAAAGCAAATTCGACATAATGTCACACAAACCTCCAAAAATGGGCTGGACAAAAGTATTGGCACCCTTTCACAACTGCGGATAAATAAGAATGTTACAAGCATGTGATGCTCCTGTAAACTCACCTGGGGCAAGTAACAGGTGTGGGCAATATAGAAATCACACCTGAAAGCAGATAAAAAGGAGAGACGTTCACTTAACCTTTGCATTGTGTGTCTGTCTGTGCCACACTAAGCATGGACAACAGAAAGAGGAGACGAGAACTGTCTGAGGACCTGAGAACCAAAATTGTGGCAAAATATCAACAATCTCAAGGTTACAAGTCCATCTCCAGAGAACTAGATTTGCCTTTGTCCACAGTGCGCAACATTATCAAGAAGTTTGCAACCCATGGCACTGTAGCTAATCTCCCTGGTCGTGGACGGATGAGGAAAATTGATGAAAGATTGCAACGCAGAATAGTCCGGATGGTGGATAAGCAGCCCCAAACATGTTCCAAAGACATTCAAGCTGTCCTGCAGGCTCAGGGAGCATCAGTGTCAGCGCGAACTATCCGTCGACATTTAAATGAAATGAAACGCTATGGCAGGAGACCCAGGAGGACCCCACTGCTGACACAGAGACATAAAAAAGCAAGACTACAGTTTGCCAAAATGTACTTGAGTAAGCCAAAAGCCTTCTGGGAAAAACGTCTTGTGGACAGATGAGACCAAGATAGAGCTTTTCGGTAAAGCACATCATTCTACTGTTTACCGAAAACGGAATGAGGCCTACAAAGAACAAAACACAGTACCTACGGTAAAATATGGTGGAGGTTCAATGATGTTTTGGGGTTGTTTTGCTGCCTCTGGCACTGGGTGCCTGACTGTGTGCAAGGCATCATGAAATCTGAGGATTACCAAAGGATTTTGGGTCGCACTGTAGGGCCCAGTGTCAGAAAGCTGGGTTTGCGTCCAAGATCCTGGGTCTTCCAGCAGGACAATGACCCCAAACATACGTCAAAAAGCACTCAGAAATGGATGGCAAAGAAGCGCTGGAGAGTTCTGAAGTGGCCAGCAATGAGCCCAGATCTAAATCCCATTGAACACCTGTGGAGAGATCTTAAAATTGCTGTTGGGAAAAGGTGTCCTTCCAATAAGAGAGACCTGGAGCTGTTTGCAAAGGAAGAGTGGTCCAAAATTCCGGGTGAGAGGTGTCAGAAGCTTATTGATGGTTATAGGAAGCGACTGATTTCAGTTATGTTTTCCAAAGGGTGTGCAACCAAATATTAAGTTAAGGGTGCCAATACTTTTGTCCAGCCCATTTTTGGGGTTTTGTGTGACATTATGTCATATTTGCTTTTCTGCCTCTGTTTTATATTTGTTCCAATACATACAAAGGGAATAAACATGTGTATAGCAAAACATGTGTTAATGCAATACCTTTTTTGTGTGAAATACTTGATTTTCAGGAAAAATATCAAGGGTGCCAACAATTTCGGCCATGACTGTATATGATGCATGCATATTCTTAGCCTCCAAGCACATAACTTTACATTTATCAACATTAAACCTCATCCGCCAAATAGTTGCCCATCAACCGCCTCCCCGCCGCCCTATAGCAGAAATACTGCTACAGGGCGGTAGGGGTGTGCAAAATCATGTGTGTGTGTGTGTGTGTATGTGTGTGTATATATATATATATATATATATAAATACATATATATATATATATATATTATATATATATATATATATATATATATATAATATAGGTATATGTGATTTTGCATTTCTGGATAGGGGGCACGTGCCCTACCCAAGCTTGCATTGGCAGCCCCACCTGTCGATCACCGGGTCCCGGACAGTGATTCCTCACCAGCACCCTGTGATCGCTATGTATCACTAACAGGGAGGGACAGGTATATAAACAATACAGATCTCTCCTGTCAGCTCCTGCACACTGCTTTGTATGGCTCTGCATAGATCTATCTCTGTGAGGTGGAGATCTACCTGAACAACATGGAAGACGTCAAGTATCACCAGGCACAGTGTCGCCTCCTCACACCTGATTTAAACCTTTAATTGCCATACTACTGCCTCATAATCGTGTTCATTGCTGAGCAATCATGTGTTTAAATCTGGTGGTAAGAAGGCCTCATTCACTTAAATGGTTCATGCTCAGCAGGTGCTACACCCATCAACTATGGCAGGGCATGTAACTCCTGCTTCGGCTGCAACACTGGAAAGGGGGTGGGGATGGTAAAAACACATTTTAACTGTGGGGTTTTACCACCCTCCAAACTGCAAATGTAAATGAACCTTTACTGTTCTGAGCCCCCGATAAGGCTGCTTTCACACTGATCTGCTATGGTTTACCTGCACTGCGGATGCAGAACAGTGCATCTGTGACTTTCCTGGGTAGCTGCGCTTTGCCATAGACTTCTATTATATATTGCAGGTGTGGCGCACTTTCTGAAAGCGCACAAAAACTGCATTCCTTTGTCTAAGGCTTTGCTTACCTCTTCATAAAAAGAAATCAGATTTGTTTGACAACTTGCTTAAAATATTTTTTTTGCAGTAAGAACTCATCTGTGTGGTCTTTTATTAAATTCTCCAGTATCTTCCCAAACTATGGAAGTTAAACTAACAGTTCTATAGTTACTTGGTAAAGACTTTGACCACTTTTTAAATATAGGCACCACGTTGGCCTTAGGCCAGCCCAGTGGTATTATGACAGTCATTAAATAGTCTCTAAAAATTTGAAACAATTTGAAATGACAGAGCTCAATTCTTTTAGGACCCATGGGTGTATGACACACGGTCCAGGTGCTTTATTCACCTAAAGGTCAGTCTTTACAAGAAAGGTAGTATAATATTCTATGCGCAGAAATATCAATGTGTTTAAAGCGCTAGTAAACTCTAGAGGACAACTCGGCGCAATTTCAAGCAGTATAGTCTAAAGTAGGGTACACACTATAAAAAAAAAAAAAAAAAAAATCAGGCGAACATTTCCATGCAAGGAATGATCGTACAATTGACTTTCAACAGCCGATTCAGACCTCCCAAATGAAAATTTCTGAAGGGACAAACTCCAAACTTTTTCTTGTATGTAAACAGAACTAAAGATTTTCGTTTAATCTGTACTGTTTCCATACAAGAAAAATTAGATACGAAAGGTATTTTACATTACTGGATTGTATTTTTTAAATTCATACTTGTTTAAATTCATGATAATAATGTAAATGTTGAGTGTAATACAATTATATATAAAAAATGTTTTTAAAAAAAACTGTCCAATTTGGTTTCAGTTTTTGGCCAAGTGCATCCTGAATTTTTGGTTTCAGTCCAGAATTTTTATTTTGGTGCACCACAGGTGTGTACCCTTCTTAATTTGCTTTTTGGGGTCTTTAAAATGTTTCAAGATGTGCCATTTAGAAGATATCACCCCTTTCTTCTGTCCATGATGTCACTCGTGCATGCGCATTGTAAATCCCTTGATGGAACATTGAGCATGCCCTCTATCTGTACAACAGCATACCATTTTTATGTCATTCTATTTCCTTGGAACATTTGTGAAAACCCGCAAGTGTTCTGAGAACTACCATTTGCTTGGTGTACATTCATGCGCAAGATTCCCTCACTAACATTTAATAAAGGGCAGAAGTGTGGAAGCGTAAGGGTTTGGGAGATTTCTGCCAATGACTCTGGCTTTATCTGGAATGAGGCCAAATAATAAGCCCTCATGCACACCGGACGTTTTTAAAGCTGCTGTTTTTTACCTTTTTGGCAGTTTTTTCTACAGCCAGTAAACTCCCCAGCTTGTTGTCCTATGTGTCCATGCACACATAGACTGTAATCAGCGTTTCTTGGCAGGGGCGTTTTTTTTGTCTGGAAAAAACCCCAGAACTAGTGGGTTTCTAGAGGATTTTTTAGCTGTAAAAAACGCTCTAATGCTGAAAAATGCGGTAAAATGCGGCAAACCAGAGTTATGGAAGTTCTTTGAGCAAAAAAAAAAAAAATTGGGGGGGGGGTTAGAACTATGAAGCAGTTGCATAAATATCTAAGCATTGGATGAAAATTATATGCACACAAAACAAACACTTTCTCCTAGAAAACTTAAAAAAACCTTCTTCCAATTAATTCTCTGGAAATGTATTTTCTGTGGAATGCTATAGTGCTACATTTAACAAGCCTGTCATTTCTTCTGTTCCAGGTTATCTGCCATTGCATTGTGCTGCAGCATGGGGTCACCTAGAGGTGTTAAAGACTCTTGTAGAACTAGGTAGTGATATCATGCTACTAAATTTCCGAGGAGAAAAAGCATGTGATGTTGCTGCCAGATATAACAAGACAGACTGTGCTGATTTTCTCCTCTGGGCTGGTAAGTGATTCTCTTTCTATATCTATCTACAGTACATGTTAGGGGTAAGCATACATGAAGCAATTTTATATATGATTGTATTATCGATCAATTTACTGTCTGCCCACTAACAATTAAAATTGTTTGGATCAGACCATATACTTGAAATCAATGTAAAACAAGTTTGGAACTTCATCGACCCATTCTGATCCTATTTATCGTACATTAATCTACAGAAAACTAATAACTTGATGTACATATATTTGAAATTCTTCAAATGTATTAATAGTAAAAAGGTCCTGTCCGAGCATGTAGGCCCTTTACAACATAATCTAGAGTGGGTGACTGGAGACAAAGAGAAGGCATATAATTCATGGACTGGATCATATTGTCCAATTCTGTGAAGAATCCTTTAATCAGATTTTTTTTTTTTACCTAGATCTCTGTGTTAAGCTGCCTACATGCAGCGTGCCTGTTCGAGAATAACACATCCCCATCTATGCACAACTGCCTAGGCTACCACTAGGGCCAGATTTAAACCTTGGGGGCCTTCATACATGCAGTTGGTTTACATTCTCAATGACAGTCACATATTTTTAAAATGCATGACACATCATTCTGAGGTCACGTGTGCACGAGCACACACGCACGCGCGCGCACAAACACACACACACAAAAACACACACTCGCAGTCATAGGCCACCTTCCTTAACCGCTTCCATACTGGGCACGTTTACCCCCTTCCTGCCCAGTCCATTTTTCAGGTTTCAGTGATCTCACACTTTGAATGACAATTGCGCGGTCATACAACACTGTACCCAAACTAAAATGTTATAATTTTCTTCATACAACTAGAGCTTTCTTTGGGTGGTATTTAATCACCACTGGGGTTTTTATTTTTTGATAAATTGACAAAAAAAGACCAAACATTTTGAAAAAAAAAACCCACGTTTCTTTGTTTCTGGTATAAAAGTTTGCAAATAAATAATTGTTCTTCATAAATTTAGGCCAAAATGTATTCTACTACATGTCTTTGGTGAAAATAACCCAAAATTAATAATTATTATTTAGTCTGTAGGAAAGTTATAGAGTTCACAAACTATGGGATATATCTGAAAATTGACCAATCCTGAAGTACTGACGGCCAATCTAATTTCTTGAGGTCCAAGAATGTCAGAACAGCACAGATATCCCCCAAATGACCCTTTTTGCAAAGTAGACAGTCCGACGTATTTCATAACAGGCATGGCGAGTTTTTTTGAAGTTGTAATTTTTTTGTCATAATTTTTTGGAAATGAAGAAATAAAAAATATGATTTTCACTATTTTTTTTTTTACATACTGTCACCAGTGCAGTACAGCGTCATCATATAACTGGCATGGCGGTGATCAGGGACACTGACTGGTGACAGTATGTAAAAAAAAATTAATAATTTTTTTTTATTCTATTTTTTTTCATATTTCACTATGACCAAAGTAGTATAATGTTACCATAGTAATATTGTACTACTTTGGAAAAGTGATCAGTATTTTTTTTTTTTTTTTTTTTTTACACAATTTGCTTATAGCAAAGAATTACTTTGCTATAAGCAAGTATTTACCTGAAAGAAATCGATTTGTTCAGGATTTTTTTTTTTTCATAACTGTGATTTGGTCACAGCTGGGCTGTGATTGGCCCAACTTGTGCATGTGATCGCTGTGACCATTCACCGCTAGCCACACAAAGGAAGCCATCCATTGTATACAACTGTCATGTGACCTGCTGTTATTGGTCACCGCAGGTCACATGGTACTGGCAACGGGGCCGGTACACAGATCTGTCATCGGCCGTGTCCGAGGTACATGGCCGGTGACAGATTGCGCGGCTCTGCGGACAGGCAAACTGCGCATGCCTGAAAGGATGCCATAAGGCATCCAACCGGAGGGACGAGGTGTTTTGCCGGCCGCCATCTGGCTATAGGCCAGGCGGGAACCTGTTAAAGGATACAGTTTGGTCCATATGTATTTGCCACAATTTGTGTTTTTCAGGTACTGACCAAAACATATTCAAGCTATAGTTATATAATTGGTATGGGCTGAAAGTGCACACTCTCATGTTTAATTTGAGGGTATGTACATCCAAATTGGAGGAAAGGTTTAGGAATTACAGCTCTTAAGAGTAGTCATCTCCCCTTTTTCAAGGGACCAAAAGTAATTGGACAATTGAATCAAAAGCTGTTTCATGGCCAGGTGTGGGCTACTTCTTTGTTATTTCTTCATCAATTAAGCAGGTAAAAGGTCTGGAGTTGATTCTAAATGTGGTATTTGCATTTGGAATCTATTGCTGTGAACCTACATCATGCATTCAGAGGAGCTCTCCATGCAAGTGAAACAGGCCATTGTAAGGCTTCAAAAACTAAACAAATTCATCATAGAGATAGCAGCAACATTAGGAGTGTCAAATCAACAGTTTGGTACATTCTGAGGAAAGAAGAATGCACTGGTGAGCTCAGCAACATAAAAAGGCATGGACATCCACAGAAGACAACAGTGGTGGATGATCGCAGGATCCTCTCTATGGTAAAGAAAAACCCATTCACAACATCCAAACAAGTGAAGGACACTCTCCAGGAGGTGGGTGTATCATTGTCAAAGTCTACAATCAAGAGAAGACTTCAGGAGAGCAAATACAGAGGGTTCACCACAAGGTACAAACCATTCAGAAGCCTGAAGAATAAAAAAGCCAGATTAGACTGTGCCAAAAAAATATCTAAAAAGCCAGACCAGTTCTGGAAAAGCATTCTTTGGACTGATTAAACTAAGATTAATCTGTACCAGAATGACAGGAAGAAAAGTGTGTAGAAGGCTTGGAACAGCTCATGATCCAAAGCACACAATGTCATCTGTAAAACATGGTGGAGCAAGTGTGATGGAATGGGCATGCATGGCTTCCAGTGGCACTGGGTCATTAGTGTTTATTGATGATGTGACAGAAGACTGAAGCAGCCGGGTGAATTCTGCAGTGTTTAGAGATACACTGTCAGCCCAGATTCAGCCAAAGGCAGCAAAGTTGATTGGATGGCGCCTCACAGTACAGATGAACAATGATCCAAAACACACTGCAAAAGCAACCCAGGAGCTTTTGAAGGAAAATAAGTGGAATATTCTGCAATGGCCGAGTCAATCACCTGATCTCAACCCTATTGACCATGCATTTCACTTGCTGAAGGCAAAACTAAAGGCAGAAAGATCCACAAACAAAGTACAACTGAAGACAGCTGCAGTTAGAGCCTGGCAAAGCATCAGAAAGGGGGAAACCCAGTCTTTGCCTTCAAACAGTCATTGCCAGTAAGGGATTCGCAACAAAATATAAAAAATGAACATTTATGATTATATTTAATTGTCCAATTACTTTTGATTCCTTGAAAAAGGGGGGGATGGCTACTCTTTAAGAGCTGAAATTCTTAAACGCTTCCTTTGGATGTACATATCCTCAAATTAAACCTGAGAGTGTGCACTTTCAGCCCATATTCATTATATAACTATAGCTTGAATATGTTTTGGTAAATACCTGAAAGAAACTAAAATTGTGCCTGTGTCCAAATATATATGGACCTAACTGTACGATCACAACATGTCATATCCATATTCAGGGTGTAACATGTTACAGATGAACCAGCCTCCGCATTGGAGGTATGGACAGAGAGCTACACAGTCTGCAGGACCATAGTGACGACTGTGATGTTCCTAATGACACTAAAACAGTGATCGGTGATAATTCTGTTCAATGCACTAATGACACTGGCAAGGAAGGAATTAAAATCTAGGGGCAATCAGGGGGTTAACTGTGTGCCTGACAACTGTAATACATGTAATGTGTACTTACCGATCTGCCTTTTTCTTCCTGCTTTTTAGGGAGAAGAAAGAAACAGCTAGATTGCTGTTCTCTGTACATAGAGTTCATTGTGTCTGTAAACACAGAACTCTGTGCTGTAATTGGACACAGCCAATCAGCAGGTTTCAGCTGAAATCATTGCTGAAATCTGCTGCCAAATTTGTGCTGTGTCCAATCGCAGCAAGAATCTTCAGGGGGCGTGCAGGTGCCCGGAAGAAAGCTGGCAACTTACATGTACGTTGCCGTGTCTGCACCTGCTGCCCCTTTGCAGTATATTTATAACTACACTATTAGTGTCTATAAGGATGGCACTGATCTATGTAGCTGTGCTGCTCTATAAAAAAACATATTGTTAATAACAGAATGCACCGTTTCCTACGTACTGGTAGGTTCCATCAGTAACCGCATCTGAGGATATTAAGCTTGTTCCCTTTTCTGGGGAAAAAGCTGGACTTAGTCACTATTCTATTAATAACATTGGCAACAACTCCCAGTTTTACCAGTGAGGCCAGTAAAATACCAGACATGCGAAAACTATAGTCATGCACACAGATTGCGAAACTGGCCATGACTTGTTTGGATGTATTCCTGTCTTTTATTTTAGAATGTAGTAATAGTGTCATTTTTCATTCCAGAGTAATGGAAAGTGTTACTGACTCCTCTAGGAAAACTTTTTTTTGTCACTGTCCTAGAATATACAGTACATGTAGGTCAGGGGTTCTGTCTTTTCTCTGTTTCACTGTATGAATAGAAATATCTGCTGCCACAAAGGTGACAGGCTTAACCTTCACCCTGGTGCTGCTGTCATATCCTGGGTTCTCCTGTTCTAAAGACGTGCCAATCAAAAAACAGGGAATACACATGGAACATCCAGGCTTTAACATCCTTTTTTTTTTTTTTGTTTTTTTTGTTCCGTTTTTTTTTTTTTTTTAAATCAGTCGATTAAGAACAGCAGTACAACATACAGCTCCTTGATTTGTTTCACTAATACATCTTAAACAAAGGTCCTAATTATTAAAATCGTAATTGAATGGCCTTTATTTGCTAAGGAGCTGTGTATCATAAAAATACATATATTGGTGTGGCGCTCATATATATATATATATATATATATATATATATATATATATATATATACACACACGGGATGTTCAAG